AAAATGTCACTATTATTGAGATCTAGAAGTAAACAGCCTTTATATCCAACAGGGTAGCCTAAAAAGACTGCCTTTCTAGCTCTGGTTTCTAATTTGGTTCTATGAGAAGTAAGAGTAGAGGCATAGCAAAGAGAACCAAACACTTTAATATGACTAATGTCAGGTACATTGTCATGCAATAGCTGATATGGTGATTTTTGTTGAAGTAAATTGGATGTGACTCTGTTAATGATAAAAGCAGCATAAGGGACTGCATATGACCAGAAGGATTTTGGTAAGTTTGATTGATATAGTAGGGCTCTACCTACATTCAAGAGATGCTGATGTTTTCTTTCTACCCTACCATTTTGTTGAGGTGTCTCTACACATGACTTATGGTGAATAATGCCCTTGGATGCATAAAATTGAGGGAGAGAGAATTCAGGTCCATTATCAGACCTGATGTACTTGGGACAGGTATGAAACTGATTCTCAATAAGAGTAATAAAATTTTTAACATGGTCAGACACCTCTGCCTTGGATTTTAACAAGATTACCCAAACAAATCTACTAAAATCATCAAGAACAGTAAGAAAATACTTGTGACCTTTAATAGAAGTAATGGAAATAGGACCCCAAATGTCAAAATGAATGAGTTCAAATTTAGCATTTGCTCTAGAAGTGCTGATAGGAAATGAAATTTTCTTATGTCTAGCAAAATGGCAAATATCACAGACAGCCTTATTATCATTAACAAGTTGTGGATACAATTGATGCATTTTAGAAATTCTGTCATGAGATAAGTGACCTAATCTAAAATGCCACAAGGCTTGTGGTGGAATCACTTTACATGTGTTGGCAGAAGTTTTAGGCATAGTGAGGTCATTGGAACAATCTGAGTTGGAAGTGTGTTTTCTTTTATCAGCAGACCAACCATCATCGAGCACTAGTTTGTACAATCCTTCTACTTGACTAGCCAAACCAATCATCCTCTGTGATTTCACATCCTGTATATAACATTTATCAGCATGAAAAGAAAGTTTGCAGTTAAGATATTGACACATTTTTGAAACTGACATGAGATTAAGAGAGAAGTCAGGAGTGTACAAAACATTTTGCAAAAAAAACTGTGGTGAAAAGTTAACAGTGCCAGCTTGTTTAGCAATGACAATAGCACCATTAGGTAGACACACATTAACAGGTTTAATTTTATGTAAAGAACTAAACCAATGAAGAGAGGAGCATACATGATCATTGGCACCTGAGTCAATGATCCAAAAATCAGGTTTTCTACTAGTGGAACAAGATGCTATGAGCACTTGAGAATTACCTGTAGACTCATGTGTAGAAATGTGATTGGTGGTTGAATTAACATTGGTAGCAGAATTTGGCAATTGAGACAGTAAATTTGTTTGCTGCAACAAGTTAATCAACTGAGAGTATTGCTCTTGAGATATGCTAGCACATTGACTCCTAGAGGAATCTTCTTCACCAGTGGAAGCAGTTTGTTGGTTGTCACCAGTAGAGGAATTTGTGGCATTAGCAACAGTTTGCTTTTTACCATAGTTTGGAGGAAAACCATGCTTCCTATAGCAAACTTCAACTGTGTGACCTGCTCTATTGCAATAAGTACACAACCTATTGTCTCTGCGCGAGTTTTGGGAACTATTGTTACCATGACCAGAGTAATTGGCTTGCTTGCCACGATCACCTTGTCTTCTTGAGTCATAAGCATTTACCAAAGAATTAACTTCTTCCATAGGAGCAAAGGATTCAGGTTTCGAAAGTAAAGAGACGTTATGGCTCTCTTCTTGAATCACCATAGAATAGATTTTGTTGATGGATGGTAAAGGATCCATCAAAAGAACTTGAGTTTTGATGACAGAAAATTTGTCATTCAAACCAGTTAGAAATTGTATTACCTGATCTTCAATGCGAAATTCTCGAGCAGCTCTCAAGGCTTGGCAGCGACATTGTTGAGCACAAGTGCACGATGGTAGAGGACGATAAGAGTTTAATTCCTCCCATAAGCCACGCAGTTCAGTGAAGTAATCAAGAACTGATTTCGACCCTTGCTTGAGATTGTTAATCTCCATGCGCAGAGTTGAGACACGAATTCGATCAATCTTCGAAAACCGTTCCTGGAGATCATTCCAGACTTCAAGAGCATTCTCCAAGAAAACGATAGTTTGAGCAATGGGTGATGTAACAGAGTTGAGAATCCATGAATGGACTAAGCAATTGCATCGTTCCCATGCACAGCGGTTGAGATCATCAATGTCAGGAATAGGAATAGTGCCATCAATGAAAGCAAGCTTGTTCTTAGCACCAAGCGCTCGTTTCATTGATCTAGACCAAGAAATATAATTGACACCAGTCAATTGAGGTGTGATGATCACAGAATTAGGGCCTTCACTAGGATGTACATAGTAGACTGAATCTATGTCACCATTGGTGACACGTTGAGTTGAGGTGGTGGAATTGGAACCGCGCGCCATAGATGAAAAAGAAGGGCTGGATTAAGAAGAAGAAGGACTGGTTTATGGGAAAAGAAGAAGGATCACAGGTGTGGATCTTGAAGCGAATGATACCATATTATGATTGAGAACTCATGCTCAAATCAATAGAGAAAAGAGAGAAAAGAGAGAGATTAAAGAAGAGAAAGAAAAGAAGCTCTTTATTACCCATATACAAGCTTATGCATTACACAGCTATATATACTAGCATTCTGTTACAAGCTATTCATGTAACTAACTTCTAATAACCACTAACTACCTAACTGTATAACAACTAACTGCATAACTGTCTAACAGCCAGCATAACTGCCTAACAGCCTAGGTAGTTGAGAAGAAGTAATTGACAAACCACTTGAATTAAGTAGAGTAGAAAAAACACTTGAATTGATTTAAAAAATTGAGATATTAGAAAAGTGACTTAAGAAGAGATTTTAGTTTCTTTGACTGAAAATGAGGAAGAGAAAAGGTCTGTTCAAATATATATTTTCATATTTGTTATGGGTAATGCATTTTCATACTAGTTTTTGACAAAATAAACAAAATAAAAGTGTGTGACTCACTTATTTTTTGGATAGGGTGTAAAATGAAACGCCTCTGAAAATACATTTTAAATTCTAGACATTTTTTATTTTTCACACAAAGATGCGTGAGTGAACACCATAGTGTGAACACCATTAAAATGGGAAAAGTAATATCCTCTATATTTATCCTATAGTATTTGGACTACCTAAATACATGTTTTTTCATTTGAATTTATCTTCGTAACAAAGAGTTTTAGAGATAATGTTATTTAATGAGAAAATTGTTATTTACCAATAATTTCGACTTAGTATCCTAAATTATTTTTTTTATTTTATTTTTTAATAAATATTAAGGTTGTATGATTAATTAATAATTTTGAAAAGTCAATTTAATTGGCACATACCGCTTATCTTTTTTTTATCTTATGCTCTATTTTTTTACCAAAAAATTGTATGGGAGAGAAATACATTATTCATATTTTATCCAAAAAAAAAATACAGGATTCATATAGTATTTTTAATTATGAACTTTTAAACTTAAATTACATATTTTTTCAATCTTAATAATTATAAATATTTTGAATGTGTAAATTTGAAAAGGAGACACGTTATATTAGGTGCATGTACAGCTTCCTGCCCTACTCCATGTGACTGTGGTAGCATAGCCAATCTTCCATTTTTGAAATACAACAAAACAACCGTACTCAAACAAGCACATGATTTACAGATGGTAGCAATTATAGAAGCTATTACAACAAGAGATGGATCCAAAAAATTGTTGTAAGGTCAAATACATTGTCTAGAATTGGAGGTATGTTATGTCCCCCTTCCCACCTCCCCTAAGTGCAACGTGGGATTTCTTCCCTTCACAAATAGTTTGCTGGATCTAAAATTGAGAGTGAAATTTGTTATATTTTATATTTAGTATTATTTAATTATTATATTTTAATTATTATTATGTCCATAATAAATATTTATATGGATTATATTAATTATTTAATAACTAAAATCTTAATTAATCAAAAGACTAAATAACATTAAAAAAAATAATTAAGTTTTTGTTTAAAATTAATTATTTAATTAATTTAATATGGACTCAAATATGTGAGTAAAAAACCATTAAATGAATATTACTTTTTAGTTATTATATAATCCTTCCATTTTAAAATGACTAATATATAAAATTTATTTCAAAATAATTGTCATTTTTCAATGTTGAATAATTATTATTTTTCTAATTATGTCCTTTAATTATTATTTTTTACACTTCTTTCAACATGTTAATAGAGTTAATTTGATAAAAGTGAAATACTTTATGACAAGTATTCTTTAATTAATGTACAAAAATCTTAAATGACATTAATTTTGAAACGGAAGAGTATAAACATGAGTCTATGAAACACTGGCTCTACTCCTTTTCTTGTTAATTGCATAATTATTTCTATCTTGAATGTGTGGTGACGCACAATTACAAATGAGTTGCAACTTTTTTAATCTTATTTGCAAAAGTGAATTTCTTTTTGCAAGTAATTTTTGTAAACTTCGAGAAGCGGTACCGAATCACACAACATTATCTATTATTTGATGCTGACTTATCGTGCGTTCATCTATTTTATATCAAAGATTATCAGGTGAGAGTGATTTTTTTTAAAGAAAATAGACCCCTGCATTTGAAAATAAGGTGATCACAACATAAAGAAAATAGACCCCTGCATTTGAAAATAAGGTGATCACAACAAATATCTTGTCAATAAACAATAAAAAAAAAATGCAACCATGAAGAGGAGCATAAGGGAAAATAAGTAATATAGCAACAAAATTGATAATTTAGAGTGAATATATGCTTGTTACTGCACCACAAAGAAACAATCAAAATGGGACTTATTTTACCATTGGCCTTTAATTTGATCAGATAAATTGACTTGTTAAAAAGAAACAATCAAAATGGGATAAATGTATTAGAAAAAGGATATACAAAATGGGACAAGAGAAAATCATGTAAGTACAGTAATACTACCTTCCTTAGCAACCAGAATTACAAACTTTATAACGGCAAATCAGAGAAATATAACTGCATTGACAATTTGAGGCATTTCAGTAAGCATATAAGCAAACAAAAAATGCGTTTTTTTTGCTACATGATATGCATATATATTCAACGTATAAAGTGGTCTACCTCATTCCATAATTTAGGTCCAATTAGTAGCTATGATGAAATCGACAATATACAAAAGAGGCACTCCTCAATTCCCATCAGAACCTTAAGTTAACTTCTAAAAATACAAAGGAGGCACTCCTCGATTCCCATTAGAATCTTAAGTTAACTTCTAATAATACAAACCTTGTGATCTACATCTCAAGAGCATACATCATTCTTCTTTCAATCAACCAAGGAACCGCTTAGCCATTAGATCAAAGAATTAATTTAGATTAGTTTTGATAAAAAAGGACAGAAGATAAATAACAAATTGATCAAGCCTCGATAATTGGTCTTCGGAGACCAAAACAAACAGCTGACCGAAAAAGTGGAGGTGCATCTTCTGTCAATACCTCGGCATCCAACTTTTCAATATGGGCCCATATCTGCATAAACAATATGAATGTTGCATGATGTCAGATGATTTACTAAGAGGTACTAAATCCTTTTTGGGCATGCTACTAGATCAACAATTGAGGAGACAAATAGAAGTGCATAAAAATTAGAGTGATTTAAATCTTTGCAAAAACTTACTACGATTATATTCAAAATTTAAATTATCATTACCTCAGTTGCGTACTGCCTAGAAAAGGCCTTCACATAACTCAAAGTAGTGATACACCACTGTTCCTTTTCACCTACATTATAAGCAACACTTTTCTTCCCACCATTTGACTGACTGTAGAATAGATTAAGAAGCCATAGTTAATACAAATTAATAGTATTTTCCCACAAGATAAATTTGGTAATGGTTGAATATGCATCTCGGTAAGATAAGGACAAGCACGGGAACCTGTTTTGAGGTATCTGATTCTCAGTGTCTACTTCCATCGTAGACTGTTCTTCGAGGTCAACTACCATCTCTTCAACTTGGGCAGACTTCCATTCACGGAGTGTTCTAGCTCCAGCCCCCTTAGGAAGGCGATCAGTCAATACATTTGAGAAGCTTTTAAACAACAAGAGAAACAATACCTGTGTGAACAATAGGCACCAATGAAAAGAAAATACTGTGAGAAACAGAACTTCAAGTGCATTCATGCAATTCAAATTAAATGGGTCAGCGACCTCTTTGAACCAAAACCAAAATTATAAATCAAATAAATATAAGAGGCTAGAGGGAGCTACAAATGAAAGTGATAAGAAAATTCAGAGTTGTATAATACTCTTTTAAGTGCTTTTAACAAGACAGCAATCAAAATATAGAAGTGGTTAGATGCTTCTCCGGTATCTATTATACCTTTTTTACAGCTCAAGAACTTCAAGTGCATTCATGCAATTCAAATTAAATGGGTCAGCGACCTCTTTGAACCAAAACCAAAATTATAAATCAAATAAATATAAGAGGCTAGTGGGAGCTACAAATGAAAGTGATAAGAAAATTCAGAGTTGTATAATACTCTTTTAAGTGCTTTTAACAAGACAGCAATCAAAATATAGAAGTGGTTAGATGCTTCTCCGGTATCTATTATACCTTTTTTACAGCTCAAGAGGATTTGTTTTTATCTATCATTTCATATGTCCCACCCTTCTAATAACATTTCTTTTTCGGCACTCTTATCGCAATTTAGCCAAAATAACCACATCAGATCTGGGGCTGTGTGCAAAATAACCTGATCTATAGTTCTCTATTTAAATATCATCCTTCCCCATTAACTGAGAACTTCCCGCGCCTAGAAAAGGCTATCTATATGGCCATGGTGTGTAGTCTAAGTCACCGGAGAGAGTGAATATTTCTAAACTATAATCATATTATTGCCACATGGTTTTTCAAACAATTTCAAATGGCTCCTGTACACGGCATAAAATTGTGTCCAAAGAGAACAACGCGGCCTTTCAAGTGTCACCTTTGATAAGGAAAAAATGTCTCCAAACTATTAACCATTGCAAATTTTACATCAATTACCTCATTTTCATCAGTTGCTCGCGCAAGAAGAGCTTCTTTAGCTTCTATAGAATCTTGTATAGATACCAGCTCTTCCTTTGCTTTTTCAGCACGCGATTTCAATCTATTCATTTTTACAGGATTGTCACCGACAACTGGCTCACCGTCCACAAGTGCTAGTTTGGACTCTGCGACATCTAGCTCTGTTTTCGCCTCGTTGGCAGCTACTTCAGCTGATGAAATATTCCTTTTAAGAGATGATATTTCTTTCCTTAGATCAGAAATACGGTTGTATGTTTTGCTTACTGCATTTCTAAGAACCTGTTGGATGGAAAACAAGGTGGCAACTATAAAATGAAATAAAGTATGCATGGCAAGGATCAAATAGTTTAAATTTGTTAAGATTTGTAAACCGCCATGACAAAAACATGTAGTTTCCACTCCAGCACTTATAAATGTTAAAAAGAATTAGCCATGCAAAGCTGATCAAGCCAAAAGACAATCTAAAGTAAGAGAGATATTTCCTAAACACTGTATATTTAACTGAGAAAGAAGAATTACAAATGAATTTATCCATAAAAGCTAGATTAAGTACCTCCCATGGACGATCTGACAAATGAAATTGCTCAACATTTTCTTCTGAGAAGACCCATCTCACAATAGCCAGATTTGATATAAGGCGATAGCCCATCATTCGGTCAATTGCTATTGCTGTCATTTGGGTGTTACTCTTCCAGAAAGAACTGACTTCAGCTATCAGCATAATTTGCTTATCTTCATCAGGACATATTTTAGCAATGACTTGCCCATATCTTTCTAATACAGTTATCAAATGAGTGAAACTCTTGGATCCAATATTGAGAAGAGTTTGTATGACAACTCTGAGTGTAACTTCTAGACTATTATTTGAAGACACACTTTCATCAATCCATGAGATAATTTCACGGACAGCCGCCTTCCCTTTAACCATGTCGTTGAGATTTCCAGACAGCAAGGGTTCATTGTTTTCTTTACCATCTTCTGCACCAAGATTGAAATTTGGTCCACCCTTCGGGGGAAGCAATTCCTCTAAGCCAGGTGCATTTTCAATGCTCTGCACAAAATATAATGAAAGGAACCATTGGAAACATCAACATGACAATTTCATGAAACCAAACTAAGGTCTGTTCATTTAAATGCTCATGGAAAATCATCAACAAAAATAAATAGCGAGACTTCTCCATACTTCATACTCTTTTATGATCTTCCAACATGGACCATAACTACAAAATAAACCACAAGTGGCAACGCAGTAATGCAAAATTACCTGTTTGACTTTGTCCCAGTATGACAAGCGAACTTCCCTCTCCAAAACCTCTTGAACAAAAACACGTTGAGGAGCCCACCTAGGGAGATCTAACACATGAGCCCACTCTTCCCAAGGCCAGATGAACTGAAAGTTTGATCTGTATAGCAAAAACCATCAACCACTTTGAACATGAATAAACTAGAGTAAAGATACAACTTAACACTTTTGAAAGTAAAGAGAAAAATACCTATAATTTTTTTTAAATAAGATTAAGACGTTAATACATATTTGCATGACCAGTTTCATTTCATATTTATTTTTAAAAAAAACAGTTTCACTTTTTCCCTAGTACCAAGCATAACCAGTGCAAACAATTTTAATGTCAGAATCATGAAAGTTATCTATTGTTATCATATTGCAACTTTAGCAAATAAACTCAATGGAAGCTTAGAAATGACAATTTTTAGAGTGGAGACGGTATTGGAGAAGGGAAAGGGGGAAACAAGATCTACATCACAGAGAATATGAACAGGTAGGTACATATTATCTCAAAAGAGTAATGAATACCGAAATAGCAATTGCAAAAGGTTGGAACATACAAATGGTGTGAGAACCAAAGGATTAATCGAGTTCGGCACTCCATATCCAAATCAGCAATCTTTTCAAAGAGAGCACGAACTGCTCCAGCAACAACAGCGGGAAAAGCTCCAGGAAGAGCCTATTATGTAGCCACAAAATTAGAAAGCAATAAGTACCAAACATTAAGTCGAAATTGCAATCTGTATAAAATTGTAAAGGAGAAATGGACATTCCTCGGTGATGGGGAAAAGAAGTAGAGAATGTTAAGTCCACTTGTAATTACCTTACAGAGGTCAATAATAACCAGTGTGTAATACACTGGTTTGAAAGGTGGTTGTGGAAGCATCAGCAGCTGCGAGAGAAAGAGTGAGATAGACTATTATTATTACTATTGTTAAATGATTAAATGTGTCAATATTGTGTGGCGTGTTCAGCTACTCAGATGAAAAATACATGGAAACAAAATTCCACTAAATCAAAATATGAAATTAAACATGTGTGTACATTTAATTTGCATATTTCAGTTCAAATTTAACAAATTAATATATAATAAAACCAGCCAAAGCTGTTTCCCACTAGGTGGGTTAGCTACATGAAAATACATTACTTTTTCATATCATGAATCATATCTAATGATAGGAAGGGTAGACATCAGTCAGGTTTGGTTGGAGTTAGACCAAAAAGCCCGCTCCACTGCTAACTGAGGAGTAAATATGAATCTGCTTTCATCCGTTTAAGCAGTCTAGTGAAAGGGTTACTATACACTCTGCACAATCCCAAATACTCTAGTGAGAGGGCTACTATACACTCTGCACAATCCCAAATACTCTAGTGAGAGGACTACTATACACCCCCTAGCTAGTTATGACATCATATACTAAGAAGAAGAGAAGCTTCTTTCTTTTCTTTTCTATTTTTACATTCCTTAGTTATTAAGGATTACTAAACATCAATGGAGAACAATTTCTCTGTTTTTTAGCTTCTGAAGTAGACCTGCCAAAGCCCGTGTGGAGGGCCAATGCAAGCTTCTACAAACAACCTTATAATATCAAAGCAGAGATTACACACAAGCGGGGCAAAAGAGATCGCAAATTTACACTATAATACCTGAGAGAATATTGTCTCAGCCATGAGGTACTCATATCTGAAGGTAACCGGCAGACCAACCATGAAAGAAGCACATTCCTTTCGACTAGCTTTGCATGAATCCAAAAATGAGAACAGTTAAAAATACATTTGAGAAAATTTCAACATGAAAAGTTTTAAAAAAACAAAAAAGAGGAAGTATAACAAATGGACAAATCCTAAGTTTTTGTTGATGGAATTAAAATTAAAAGTTAACTTGACAAAATTAGTACAGTATGATGAGTTTAAGTATATTTTAGTATATTCCTTATTTGCACTTTCGCCACATCATCACAAATGATATTCCAGCATAAAGATATTTAGCATGTATACTAACCTGCCATTGAAATACAGAAGCACGTCTAAGAGATACTCTTCCACAACAAATCGATCTATGGGCTGCAGATCCTGCCATCCAAAAGATTTATTTTATTGAATCCATTATTTGATTGTGGTTGGCAAAAGTGACATTCGAATTGATATAAACCTAGCCTAAGTATTGATATTATAAACGAACCCTGAAAAGGTTCATATGTGTTCAAGAAATAATCACCAGGCTCATCATGCATAAAGCAGTCTGATATTCACTAAAATTCAGAAAGCTATTTAATGGAGAGAAGTGCAAAAGCAGATTGTAAGAAATCTTCCCAAATAACAACAAATCATATCAAGACAATGCAGATCAAAATAGATTTGAAACCTCAAATCTTATATTCAAGGGGGGAAAATATTAGCAGGTGCCAGAGACTAAATTGAGAAGATGATGTGGCATCACTGCATGATTTAACCATCAAGTAAAAAATAAAAACATAACTGCACATGAAATAACACTTCTCTCTTAAATAGGTTAAAGCTAGAGAAGTAAACAAGTTCTTAAAAATATTTGCATGATTTAACCATCAAGTAAAAAATAAAAACATCTTTTTGTTCAAACTTCTATGTTGATAGTTGTAGATTAATATTCAATGAAATTAACAAACATATTTATGTTCCAAATATAAATATGGAACATAGCAAAAAAGTGGCATGAGTTGGGAACACAGTAGTTTTATGAAGGCTGATGTGCCATAGATGCTTAAATCTACAGTGAAAGAACATTAAAAGCATTGTTAGGTGAAAATGTCATGGAACTGGAAGTTTCTGTTCTGAGAATTGCACCAGAGGTTTTTGAACTCTTTCATAAAATCATCACAAAAACGTTGCTGTATGAGAGTCAAAACTACATGGAACGATGAAGTTTTCTACAAAAACAGCTTTTAAGAAAGTTAGAGATAGATGCTCTTTTATGGGTACACCAAGGTGCTCAAAATCAACTGTTGAGACTAATCCTTAAGAGGTAACTGAGATGTATGTAAGGGGTTGACTGATATCCTCAACCTCCCAACATATGTTTTTCCTTGGGCACCAGTCAAGGTTCAAATTCCTGCCCAAATACTTAAGGGACCCAAGTATCTAAAACTTGTGTCACGCCATGTTTGTTAGAGATAGATGCTTTTATATGATAAAATTTGGAAAGAATTATCACGAGAATAACGTTCTTGAGGAATTTTATAGTCTTGACCAGCCACAACAGCTTTCAAAAGCATAAACTATATACTTCTAAAATAAACCTGTTGCTTTTTAAGAAATATCCTCAAAACAGTTTATCAGAAATATTTCTGTACAAAGAATGCAAAATTCTTACAATTTTTTCCAAATGAAGGTATAAATAATTGCTTACGTAAATAGTTCAAAGGATTTTATTCATGAGAAGTTCTTTCAATTAAAAGCTGAAATGCATAGCAAGGTATATATAATTGCTTATGTAAATAGCTCAAAGGATTTTATTCATGGTTATTTCTATTAAAAGCTGAAATATATAGCCTAAAAGGAAAAGGAAATCTTTACATCGTTGCAATAAGATTTGGAAGTTTTCTAGACTATGCCAAAAAAATGCAAACGAGATAATTAAATGCTTCAAGAAATGTGTGCCAATTATTTCATCAATTTGAGATCAGTAGAAACACCGTCAAACAGTGAGTAAACATTGTTGCAAATCAATTGAACCCAAATAAAATGGAGGGAGACCGAATGGGAATAGTAGTCAAATGGTAAAAGAGATAAGTTTCCATAAGAAAGATTTGGAATAAGATTTGGAAGTTTTCTAGACTATCACAAAAAAATGACCAGATAATTAAATGCTTCAAGTAATGAGTGCCAATTATTTCATCAATTTAAAAACAAGAGAAAACACCACCAAACAGTGAGTAAACAGTGTTGCAAATCAATTGAACCCAAATAAAATGGAGGGAGACCGAATGGGAATAGTAGTCAAATAGTAAAAGAGACAAGTTTCCATAAGAAAGATTAAAAGAAAGAAAATTAGTGTAAACATGTAGGACAAGTATCATATAGAAGGAAAATCACCTCCATTTTACTGGAAGGAAATATGTTTAACCGCCGTATTCTTTGAGGATACTTTAATTCTGCTTCATGCTTCTCTTTACCAAAAGATACACCAGAAGGAACTGAAGGCGGGTTTGGTAAGTTGGAGCAGCTTATTGTCCCAAATTCATGAGACTTCCCAGCAACCAGCTGAGCTTCAAAGGAAAGATGGGGTCTTGGAACTAACAATAAAAATAGTAAACATAGTCAGGCAGGGAAATAAATGTAAACAAGGTTGATGGGCATGACACAAAATATAACAAGAGAAGAAAGCAAAATGATGGGTCAAATAAACGAGTTGTACTAAACTATTTCACTTGGTATAGAACTCAAGTCTGAGGGGTGGTATGTGAGAACAAGCCATAGACCTGTGTGGAGTAGCACACTATAATACCCCCTAGTCAGTTTATGTTATTGACACAGTTGCCAGATAACTGAACCCATTGCCCAGCCCATGAATCTTAAAAAAGTTATCTGCGGTTCAGCACATGAACTTTTTATTATAAAATGATGGGGGGGGAGCTCAGCCCCAGCATGTGCACGCAAATTACCTGCTCTTAATATGAATAAAGGGCGAGTAACACTTTTTGGTTGCATTACACACACAAACCAAGAACGTCAAACAGTCCAGCAGAAATCCAAAGAGGGAAATAAATCCATGTCCAAGTAAACCTAATGATATTTTAAAGAGATTGCAAAATGGATTTGCTCAACCATATTAGGTCATTCTGAAGTGGTATAACCCATATATCACTAATGCATTGGATGAAGTTTGTTCCTTTACATAGTCATTGACTATGTACTTGATTAACTGCATTAACATACACTGCTAAAATTTGCACAAAGATAAAACTTACCACTTTCAACTTTCCATCCATTGCTTGATAAAACTTGTATTCTATCCCATAAGTCCTCCAAAAAATCCTTAAAAAAAGCATAACAAAATAATTTGTTTTAAACCCATTCTTAGCAATTTAAAAAAGGGGATAATAAATAAACATAAAAATAACAGAGCAACTCTTTCATTTATTCTACAAATATTTGAAAACAAAATTGTGCTTGTGTTATAGCAGAAGTGGACTTTATATTGCCAATGTTATACTAAGAATCTATCCTTCCTTTGTTTTTAAGTTTGGTCGTGATAATAATAACCTAACAGTATCAACGTAAGTTTTATTTTTAAAAAGTTGGTCTTCTAAGAAAAACCTGACTCAGTAGGTTTTCTAAAATTTTAAAACCCATCATTTTGCAAAAATCCAACACCGCTTCCCTCGTCCCCCTTCGCCAACTGCACAGAACATGAAACAAACTCGCAATCCCTCGAGTTGGCGGCGAAAATCACAATACCACTATGATCATTCACATGTCCAATTCTAAGCACAATGCATCACAATGAATGGAGTTTGGATTGCAGGATCGTGTGATCCCATGAGTTAACTAGCGATCCAACAAGTGTGTGGATCCCATAAAAATCATGTGGGACCAACATGAGTTCGTTGAACCCATATCCAAAATAATGGGGGCCGTTTGAATTTCAACTAATGAAAGAGAATGTGTTGGAAAGAGTGTGTTGCAAGCAAGTACTTCTCATCTTTTAGGATGAGCCTCAAGTGTATAACGGCCAAAAATGTAAACAATCTAAAATTTGGAGGTCCATTTAATTGTCTTAAAGAGCCTAGGCAGGTGCATTCGTAAAACTGAAAGTGACATTTCAAAATCCTAATTTTTACTTTCCAATCAAAAACAATCATTAGATAGTATGGCAAACTTATGAAGTTCAGTTATGCCTTCAATAAATGTAACACAACGAGTACGACCCAATTCATATGAAAGCTACATTAGCGAGAATAATAACATTGATATGTTGCTCAAAAAACAGACAATAACTTGAAACTAAGTATTAGCAAACAGAAGCCAACCTTGTTATTAAGATCTCTCTCGATTTCATCATCATTCTCAAAAAAGGATAAACCAGTCTCAGAAGTATGCTTTCTGATGCTCAAGTAAGCTTCTATACCAACCATTACTGTCTCAATACCTTCGGGAACTTGCTGTGAACAGATGTGACATGTCATTCAATAGAAAGGAATATTCAGTGAGTAATGAAATGAATACTATAATTTAAACAAACATGCACATTAAAATATGCCAACAACAGCAAGCCAAGAAGCTGAATCATTTTCTGCAAAAGTTGTAACTTCTAAGTATAAGAAAATGCCAAGATGCTTCAAAAAAATCAACAACTATAAGCCTAGAATATCTTATGATATCTTTAATATTATTAGAGTATCATAATTTAATTTTTAGGATAACTTAATAATCTTAAGAGTACCTTGGATAATTTAATAGGATTTGTTTTTATATTACAAAGTATTTGCTTATAAAAATAAAAAATAAAAACTTACTATTAACATGATCTGTTTCTCGACTTCCCAAATTATTTAGGAATCAATCTTATGCATCAAATTAGTATCAAGATACTATAACTATTTATTTCTCTCCACCTTTTTATTACAGATCAACTTCAACAGTTTTAACAGCCTCACTAAAGTTTAAAAAGATAACCAAATGCTTAAGCATCATATAATTACCTCAACAAGTTCAGCCCCACCCCACGGGAGGCATGATAAAATGCAAGTTATATAAAAGTCAGCACATGGCTGCCATAAAGGATTCCCTTTTTCCTCGTCTACTGTTGTGGCAGCTGATGATAAAAATGTTTCAAAGACAGCAACTAGAGAGTTTGGTTGAAGAGCATTACTGCACATCTAAAGAATTTGAAAGAAAGCAACCAAAAAAAATGAAAATACATTTAGCAGTATATACTATAAACACAATCCTAAACATATGAAAACTGCAATACTAAGACAACAAGAAAGAATAGAAAATAAAACGTGAATATATTTGGAACTGCAAGGGAGTATGAAAGTAAATAAGTTGTACAAGTACATATACATGTCAAAAATATTAATGGTGGGGAAAGAATTAGAAGCCAACTGTATGATAGTCTACTAGGGGACAACCATTTATTAATAAAAATGAACCCATGGTGAAAATTTGAGGGACTTCCTAACTACCTCATACTGTACAGAATATGCCCGGAACAACTATGAAGTCAGTTGAGGTACACTATTTTTCTGCCAAAAAAAAAAAACAACAATGCCAATACTTACCATAACAGTCATCAGCCTCGTTAAAATACGAATTCCATTGCAATCTCCAGTATCTAAGGCTTCCTAAATTAAAAATACAACAACAACTGAGCAACATAGAAGAGTAATAATTATAAAACATAAACCAAAGAGGAGATATTTACAGATCAAAGTAAAACTTGAATAGTTTATTATATTTAATTATTAAAAAAAAAATTAAAGCAATATACACTGACATTTATCTTGAATGAAAAAACAAATACAAAACTGATAGTGTAAGTACTTAAAAACCATTGGTAAGAATCATTAAATGGGAAAGAAAAAAATGGTTGCATCCAATCAAACAAACCATAACCATCACACAATCAAATTCTCAATGTTTCATAAAAACTTACAAAAAAATATGGTTCGCCGCCAAGAAAACATTTCAATCTAATTTCATTGATTACAATAGGATCAAAACGCCAGTGTCAATCACCCTCATACAACAATGGGGTGAAACCAAAGGTGTGTGATGTGATAACATGTCAATTGATGTAATGTTGGTATCTACATAGTGGACACTTGGTCACGCATACATTTATTACAGTATCCTTGTCAAAGACTAAAACACCTTTGAACCATAAACAAAACTCCCACTAGTTTGATATCATTAATGACTAAATCAGAGTTGCCATAATCCACCCAAAAAAACAGAATTGCCAATCAAGCATTGTGGCCAACAGTGGCAGGCATACATGCCCCAAAGTTTTGTTTTAGGATGAAAGGGAGCCATGCTGAACAAATATGCCAATTTTGTATTATACAAATTAAGATGTAAAGAAACATAATAATAATAATAATAATAATAATAATAATAATAATAATAATAACAACAACAACAACAACAACAACAACAACAATAATAATAATAATAATAATAACAGCAACAATAACAACAACAACAACAACAACAACAATAATAATAATAATAATAATAATAATAATAATAATAATAATAATAATAATTGATTGTAACACAAATATCAGCTTTGCAAGAAAAAAAGTAAGAGTATTTTCAAGCAAAAACTAACTCATTATAAGGCCTTTAATTGTTTTAATTAGATCCCCATCTTTGTACACCCTTGGGACACATTTACAAGCAACAAAAATGTTTCAATTCTTGATCACTATTATAAGCAAAAGTCAATTATTACTAAATCATTTAATGCTGTAATTCCTAATATACCCTTCTATTTCATTTTCCAACATTCCATTAAATTTAATAAAGAGGACATTATAATAAATTTAATTAATGTTTTCACCAAAATCTAAAGTTAACTACACTTAGATTGATTTTCTGAATAATCGTGAAAACCATTTTTGTTACTTATAAATGTGTCCGGGGGGTGTACTATTTTCTGCTATTATCCACAAAATTTGTCAGTTTCAGCTATATGCTCTGATTTCTTAGTTGAATGGTCCATAATCTCATATTTTAGAAAATAGATTCGAAGAACATTAAACAGGCTAAAGATGTGCACTTGACTACATGAGGATTCCTAACACCAGCCTCCCATTACTCACCACCTTTCAGGAGATCAAGTGCAAATGCAATGGCCATAGGTTAAAATAAGAAATTACTAATCACATGAAACTAATGAATTTTATTTTGTTAATAATTTGGATAGTATGATGACTAAATATAACTTTGATGAGCTTTGAGGCTATTCAAATTCAGCTTGAGGGAGAATGGAACATACTTCACTCTATCATGGCAACCTTTTTGTGGAAATAGGCAATGAGTGCTTTCGGTGGAAGTAAACGGTTTTTTGTATCAGACATGGTAAATAGACAAAGACTAGAAAAATCACAAGCCTTAGAGAGGAGGGCAAATCACAAGCCCGCTCCTAAATATTTTAATGGCATATAGTATAAAACCTGCCATGTAATATCACTACAACCAACTTTGGCAATCCGTAAATAATAGTTTTTTGATCAAGCATACGTAAATATGAAACTCAAAATTAGTATTTCTATAAAAGTAGCTTTCAAATTCAAATACCAAATAATCCATATTGCCGACAGACTACATTGCAGTGAATACAAACTACATTTCAATTTCAAATTATAATATGCAACATACGGCTAAGGATTGCTAACTAATGTTCAACAAATTATAGACAAATTATTAATACAGAAATGTTCTTATACATGAATTATTAACACTTATACATGAATGTCCAGGTTGAAATTTAATATTAGCTACAGGTATGAAAAAAGTTGAAACAACTGCAAGTGTCTAATCTAGTAACTTCAGTCAGTGGCTTAATCACTTACCTGAAATTTAGAATGAGTTTTCTCCACCAGTCTTTTCACAAAATCCTCACTTTCCAAGTTAATCAACCCAATCTGAATAAAATGCAAAAGTAGAAAACCCAGGAAGCTCAAAAACTAAATTTGGAATTTGAAAACTACTCAACGTGTACAACAAATATCATAATACATAATTTAGATGGTAAGTAGTACAAGAAAAAATCATAGTGCATGATTTAGATGGTAATTAGCTGTGGAAAAAATTGAAAATACAGAACTGAAAACTGCATAATTACAGCAAGCCGATACAAATATCTGGCATTTGTTGCAAAACGCATCAAATAACAGTGCAATATAAGTCAAAGGCAACAAATGTGACGAACTAAGTTAACTCCATTGCTTCTTTTGCTATGTCAATGTCATTATAAAAATTTAAAAGTTTATTATTTTTCAAAAACCTGGTGGTTAATATGCACTACGACTTTGAAAGGCATGTCCATTATACATTATATGCATCTTTTATGAAAGCTCACCACTACGATGCTGAGAACAGAAAAATGTTCTATGCATCTTAAAATAATAGGGAAAATGGACAATGAATCTTAAAATAAATTTCCTTAAAACGATATACATATCTACAAGCTATAGCGATATTTTCTGTGTGTGTCTAAATTTTAATGGACAATAAAAATTTGCAGAGCTTACAAGTGACAAACTTGTGCAATATAAAATAGATTAGATTTGCAATTGAAAATTAAACAATATAGGGGAAAATGGGAAAGTTAGGACATCTGGTTGATAAGATAAATTACCAATATACTTAACTACAATTTCTGAAGTAAATCATTTTCAGAATAGTTAAACGGACTTGCACTGTCATAACTTACTGTCCACCAAGTTTCTTATACTGATTAATCAAAATTGTTCGGCATGTTCGCACATATAAATCGAAGTCTGAAAACAAAACACATGCTCAAACTGACACGCGTACCCAATGATAATAGTAATAACAAGAGCATCTTATTATTATGTGAGAAATAAATGCACGCTTACATGTCCTAATTAAGATGAAAATATTACAACATGTTCGCACATATAAATCGAAGTCTGAAAACAAAACACATGCTCACACTGACACGCGTACCCAATGATAATAGTAATAACAAGAGCATCTTATTATTATATGAGAAATAAATGCACGCTTACATGTCCTAATTAAGATGAAAATATTACAACATGCAGTGAAATAAATAATGCAAGCCACTTGCAGTTCAAGAAAAATAAAGAGAGAAGGAAAAATCTATACCAGGGTTCCATAGAAAGGAATCTTGTGAGGCAATTGCTCAGAACATGTAAGAAGAAACTGCATCAAGACAATAAAGTAAATATCACATGATACTAAACATGGAAGAGTCATATAGCCACATATAACAATTTAGCAGGCACCCTAAACACCGGTGTGGGTGTGTAGGCAGGTGTCTAAATAAGAAGTGCACCACACACTGAACATATAACAGCATCATAAATTTTCACATTAGAATAGTTTAATTTGAAAAAATCATGTGGAGGAAAAAACACAGGACAGCTAGAAAATCCTTATACCAGTCGCCACATATTATAGTTCTACATTCTAATCAAGCTTCAATGTCCATTCATATTATACCGATTACCACATATTATAGTTCTACATTCTAATCAAGCTTCAATGTCCATTCATATTACTGAAACAAATAATTTTTCCTATTGACAGAACGGTCATTCTAACTAGGCATCGAATTTTCCGTAGACAGAGCACATAGATATCATGGAAATAAGAAATCACTTAATTGAAACAAGCAAAAATTGCTGCTCAGACCTATGAAAGGAAGTTGAATTGAAAGTAGATAACACATTCTAGCTTCTTATATATGACATGCCTCAAAGCAACAAAAAAGCAAATTCAAATCAAGTGAATTGCTTCATTGATAATTAGGTTTAACCTAACCATCAGAACTAAGAAATTGACTTACCTCCAAAATCTCAGTTTCGGAGTGTTCGAGCTCACGACGAAGCGCACCAAAACATGTTTCCTAAAAAATCAAAAAAAGCGAGATGAAGAATAAGTTGAAATCGGAAAGAGAAAAAAGAGAGAGAAAGGGAAAAAAACGAACAATGTGGTCTTTGAAGTCGGAGGAGGGCCCATATTCGGGGCTCTTATCGCCGATCCGTAGAAGAAGGCTTCTCCAACTACTCATCGTGTTGTGCGACACTGCACGAAGAGAGTATGAGAACTGAGAAGAAAACAAGGAGCGAGAATGAAGAAGAAGGGGTAACGGTAAGTAATTGTGTTCGCAGGGTTTATGTTTAGGTCTGAACTTTGAAGTGAAGTGAATTCAAGACCGAAACCTCGATTTTCAACTCTCAACCCTAACAATAGCTAAACTAAACCCCAAACCACTAATCGTACTGTTGTTCGGCTGTTCTGTTTTATTTTATTTTTCTACTCTTATATTTTATAATGATTCAATTGAGATTTTGCCCAGCTTTATATATTTATAAGTAAATTTTACAAAATTTTACAATTTGATAAATAAATAAATAAATCTATAAAGATAAATTTGAATTTTTATTTAAAAAATAGGTTTAAATGTAATTTTGATTTTTTTTATATTTTAGTTTTTTTTTTAATTCAGTCTTTTGATTTATTTATTAAATATTTTTTGAGTTTTTCTAAATTTGTTTGATAAAAATAGCGGTTGATTGATAAATTAGTTGATACTTTATAGTTTGATATTTGATAGTTGATAAACTAATTTAAATATTTGATAAAATTAGTAGTTCAATTAACTCGTAAATGTAAGACTTAATTGTAACTTTACTCCTCCTATTTTATCTTTTGGAGTTTTAATTCTCTTATTTAAAAAACTACGATTTTATTCTCTTTTTCAAGATTTGTGTTGAAATTTTAGTCTCCTATCCACTTCAAAACATATTTTTCATGACTTGGTGCTCAGTTTGATGATGTTAATGTGTCAATGTCAAGTCATTTTAAAAATAATTTAATTTTTTAATTTAATATATATGTTAATGTTGTTTATAAATTTTCAATAATAATATAAAGGCAAAATATATTTTTTGGTCTCTTAAGTTTGCCTCCGGGTCCATTTTGGTCACTTATCTTTAAAAAGCTTCAAAGTGGTCCTTTAATTTTTCAAAAAGGTCCACGTTAGTCCTTTTCGTCATATGTTCTTACCACGGCGTTAATTTTTTCATGTTGGCATCTGATGTGTCATATGTTCATACGACGTGGCATTTGACGTGAAATTTGTTTTCCACCGAGGACATCAACATTCTAAAAAAAATTCCAAAATTTTGCACTCAATCTGATTTTGAACCCGGGTCACCATGGTTGCATGAAGAATAGATTACTATTGAACCACTTCGCTACTAATTAATAGTTTTGCAATCAAGTTTGTTATTAACTCACCCGAATTACTTACGATTTTGTATATAGAATTGTTAAGGTTTCCTTTGCTTGAAACTAAGCATTTCATCAACAGGATGCTCATGTTGAATTAAAATTAACAAGCATTAAATAACTCATTTACACTTCCAGCTAGTTACTATGACACGGAAGGAGGAGGGACTTGGACGCTAGATAAAGCTTTTAACCTGCATATCATCAAAATGGAAAATCAATTAATCATAAGGCAAGCAAGCATGCAACTACATAAGTTTGAATCCTGTGATACGGTGGGAGAACTGACTTGAGGTTTTGCGTTTGTTTTTGCAAATGTTTCGGTTGAGCAAGAGTCGCCACCGACTTTTTATTTTATCCTAAGGAAAGGTTAAAAAGCACAGCAAAAACCTTTGAGATGTTTTCTTGGGTTCGGGGAGTAGATTATAGAAAGGGAAGGTATTAGCACCCTTTCTATCCATGGTTATCCATGGGCTCTTAGTTACTCGCTTAGATCAACTTGTCTTAATTTTCAATTGTTTGAAATGGTGCTTTGTGTGTGGGGGTTTGGAAAATGTTTTGAAAAGAAGCCAATGTGGTGGCAACCTTTGTAATGATCCATGTTGGGATGTATACAAAGGTGTATGTCTTTTGAAAAGGTTTTCAATGTTTTTGAAAGTTATTTTTTGAAAGTGTAGTGATGTGTGGTTTGAAAATAGGCAAGTGTTTTGTTTTGCAAGTTTGATTCAAGTAACTAAGAGGTTGTCTACTCCTAAATTTCTCAAAGATTTCTCCTATGTTTTAACCCTTTTAACAATTTTGTTCCACCATTGCATTTGATGGACAATCTTGTGTTAGGATGTGAAGGGGACGGGCGCGGGTCATCGTTTAGACCATAATTGCAATGGTGCCAAGTATCTTTGGGCAATGTTTTCTTTAAGGGACTTGATCATTTTTTAGGCAACTTTCGAAAGCGTCATCGAGGGACTATGATCATTTGATTGTTTTGTTTTGCCCAAAGAGACCTAACATGCAATATGGCCCATTATTGAAGGCAACAAGTGGAATACCCTAGGGGTGCAAGTGTGATTGGTGTTGTCCATTTTCATGCTTGTTTATCTTGAATTTAGGTCAAACTATTTTTGTCGTTTTTGATTTGCATACAAACCCTAATTCTAACATGGCATATTTAGAAAGCAATAAAGTGCGAAAAATAAAGTTCCTAAGTTATTACAACACAATATATGGGAAGGGGGTACAAATGTTCAAATGGGGGTATTTTGACAAGGAATTTAAACCTAATTATTACATCAAAATTGAATTATACAAATTAATTAATATACAATAATTAAATAAAAATGGAATAAATGTGCAAGATGCAAAAATGTTTTTTTATATGTATGAAAAAAAAGTGTTTTTTTTATATATCAAATAAACAAAATAAAAAGTGTTAATTTTTTGGAGTTTTTATGTTTAAGGCAAAAACCCTAATTCTTTAAATAAAAGGTATTAATTATTTAATATATACAATATTTATTAGTTATGTACAAAAAATAAATAAAAAAAGAATTATATTTGTCAAAAGGTATTTTCAATGTTAAATATTAATAAAAATAAAAATGTATATATTTTGTATTTTTTTATCCTAAATATACTAATATACATATATGTATTTGTATTATTTACCAAATATATTAAATATATACAAAATAATAATATTTAATATTTATAAAAAAAATATATTTTTATTATAAAATGTTTTCAAGAGATAATATAAAATAAAATAAAAAAATAAACATGTTTGCATTATTTTTTAGTATTTTGAATAAAAGTATATCTATATATATATATTTATGTACAAATACTCATTTAAACAAATAAATGCCTAATAAATACAAAAATGGTTTAAAAAATAATTTTTATATTTTTAATATTATGAGAAAAAATAAATAAGTCAGAACAAAAAAGAAAAGATCAAAAAATCATAAAAATAAGCATAATGGGCCAAGGGGGTTTAAAAGTAAAACTATGGTGCAAATAAGAAAAGTGAAACAGGCCCAGCCCAAAGGCAGCTTCTTCAACCTCCAGACTGTTTGAACATGAACAAAACGCGCGTTTTCTATCTCCAGATTCCTGGACTTTCAAGCAAAACTCCCAACATGAAAAATGTAGAGCATTAAGAGACGAATCCAGACATATAAAGAACTTGACTTAACTCTCTAAGATGAGAGAGAATTTCTCCATCCCTAATTCTTGACCTAAGTTTCCATCAATGTCCAGACCTTAAATTCTCATAGCACATGTAAAATAAATGGAAAGTAAAGATATATACAGCTTCAGGGGCATGAGTAGAACATTTTTCATTCACAAACCTAGAGCTAACAATGCCTGGATAGGGAGATAGAAGTCCATGAACTTACCTGTTCAGTTGGAATCGTATCTGATGATGGAGGTGTTTTCAATGCAAGGTGATGATTGGTACAACTTCCTTGATGTCCAGGGATGCTATTCCAAGCTTTACTTTGTTTGGAAACCAAGAGAATCGTGTTATGGAACTTCAACTGCAAAACAAAAAAATGAAAATGGTGATGTTGCTTGGGAGTGTTACAGGTCGTGTTTGAGGCTTGGAATAGTTTCAAGGGATGATGTGGGATATGTTTGAAGTGGTTTTAGCAAGAATGCATGAATGGATTGAGTTATGGAACTCAATCTGCAGCAGGTACCCTGTTTGGGCAGTTTGAGGGTGATTCTGTGTTTGAGAAGGCAATGGAGATGGTTGGCTCGTGTTTCAGCTTAGGTTTGATGATTAGAAAGTGTTTGATAACTTTTCTTAAGCTCTTGTTCACAGGAATGAGAGTTGTGTCTTGTTATGCTATGTTTCTTCAACTTTAAGCAACAAAGTGTCCACTTGAGTTTTAGACTGATAGAGGCCCCCCTAATGTGCTGCTAACCTTCCCCTTGATCAGTGTGTTTTGTTCATAAACTTGTGCCAAAAGGATTTGCATTGTACTTGCTTGAATTGCTAATTGACATAAAGTTCTACTTTTCAAAAATGGCAAAAATGCTTTATCTAATTAAGGCTTAATCTAACATGTAATGTCCAAATGCACAAAATAATGCTAACACACAATGTATTGACATTTAATTATTGAGTGCAAATGGGATTAGAGGTCTGTAACTAGCTTATGCATGCTGATTTGAAAAGTTGCCCAAGTTATGAACATGCAAATTAGCCAAGAACAAAGTGAGTTTTTCCCAACTTGCCAAATTCGATTCTCCCTAACCATGAGGTTTTTTGATGAGTTCTTGGATATTTTGGAAATCTTGGAATGTGTACTACAATCCATATTTGAAATGAAAATTGAAATTCCAAGTGGAAGTATGTGAAAAATGGTCTTGAAGTTAGGCAAAAATCCTGCCTAAAATAGGTCAAATTTTCTCTAAGTTAAGAATGGTTTAGTACCCTTGTTCCAAAAATTGTAACTTGAGCTACAAGCTTCTTTTGAGGAAACTTTGTGCATAAAAGTTGTAGATTTTGCAATGGACTACAACTTTCATGTTTTGACTTTTGCTTGAATCCAAATGAATCTTGGTGAGAAAGTGGGACAAAGTTAGGAAAAAATTAGGGTTTTTTTTTATAACTTAGAAAAATTCTAAGTCATAAAAAATTTTCATTTCAAACCCTAATTTGCAATTCTTGATTTCTTGATGAACAAGTTTCATGATTTGGCATGTTTTGATGAAAAATGAATCTTGAGACTTGATTTTGACCAAAAAGTCAAAGTTTGACTTTTCAGTATACAGTCAAAATTGATCAATTGACTGGGAAACTCAACTGTCAATCTTGGGCATTTGGGATCTTTTGGATTTGTTGGGTATGTCAAGACAATTCCATGGGGTCCTTGAGTCCATAGGTGAGCTTGGTTTGCCATTGGCTAGGTCAAACAGTCAAAAATTGCCTTTGTGCAGTCAAAACCCTAGAAATGACCATTTTGCCCTTTTGGTGATCTGATCAAATTTCTTGTGGAATTGTGATCCAAACTTGATCAAATGGTCCATATGAGTTTATAATGTTGATGTGGGTCAATTTTCATGAGGTTTGACTGTCAATTGGCCACAATTGACTTTTTCCCCAATACAGTTGATTTCTAGGTCAACTGTCCAATTGACTGGGCAAAATTTGGAATCAAGACTTGAAACTTGGTATGGATAAACTTGGGAGTCCAACATGAAGCAAAAAAGTCATCTTAGGCATTTTAGGTCAAAATATCTTTGTGCAAACACAAACCCTAATTTGGGTCAACAGTGCAAGGAGAAGTCTTGAGCAGAGGAAACCCTAACTGGATCTTGAGCTCCAAGGGTCTTGTGATGAGAAAATGTTGAGGAAAATGGGAGGGCAAATTTTGGGGTACAACAGTTGCCCCTGTTCAATCTTCTTGAACCTGAAGAGTTAGATTGGCAAGTTTGCCTTTCGTGACTCGAGGGTAAAAGGAGATTGGACACTAGAGTGCTCGGAAATTTGCACTCGCATGTTGGAGTATCAGCAATGTGATGTCGGGAATGGGCTTATAGATGCCATTTGGAGAGATGGTGGATAGGGAGATGGGCTTATAGATGCCATCTGGAGACGTGACAGAACCTTGTCGGGAATGGGCTTATAGATGCCATTTGGAAGTGTCGGTCGCGTAAGAGATTCCTTAGAGATAACTTGCATGCTTTGAGAAAGACAGATGTTTTCCTGGCTTGTTACAGGTGTTGATCTTCAATCTCTTCATGCAGATATGCCCTGGCTAGATACAAGTGTCGAATCTACAATCGGTTGCTCACAGATATGCCCTGGCTGGTTACATGAATCGAATCTGGAAATAGTCGTCAACAGATATGCCCTGGCTGGATACAGGAATCGAATCTTCGAACTCTTCAGATGTGCCCTGGCTAGATACAAGAATCGAATCCGGAATTGTGACAGTTGATAGATATGCCCTGGCTGGATACAGGAATCGAATCTTCAAACTCTTCAGATGTGCCCTGGCTAGATACAGGAATCGAATCCGGAATTGTGACAGTTGATAGATATGCCCTGGCTGGATACAGGAATCGAATCTCCAAACTCTTCAGACGTGCCCTGGCTAGATACAGGAATCGTGTATGGAAACTGATCACTCACAGATGTGCCCTGGCTAGATACAGGGATCGAATCTGGAATCGTGACAGT